CCATCACCTCCATCACCTTCATCGCCTTCATCATCTCCACCATCTCCACCATCTCCATCCCATCTCCACCATCTCCACCACCTCCACTCCACCATCTCCACTCCACCATCTCCATCTCCACCATCTCCATCTCCACCATCTCCACCATCTCCATCCCATCTCCACCATCTCCACCATCTCCATCCCATCTCCACCATCTCCATCCCATCTCCATCTCCACCATCTCTGTCTCCATCTCCACCATCTCCATCTCCATCTCCATCTCCACCATCTCCATCTCCACCATCTCCATCTCCATCTCCATCTCCACCATCTCCACCATCTCCACCATCTCCTCCATCTCCACCATCTCCTCCATCTCCACCATCTCCACCATCTCCACCATCTCCACCATCTCCATCTCCACCATCTCCATCTCCCCCATCTCCATCTCCATCTCCCCCATCTCCATCTCCACCATCTCCATCTCCACCATCTCCATCTCCACCACCTCCATCTCCATCCCACCCTCTCCACCATCTCCACCCCACCCATGCCCCTCCCCCCATCCCACCCATCCTGCCCAGCCCCCCCTGGTGACAATCAGGACCCCAGGTCCCCACGGCCACCCCAGAGCCCCCCGTGTCCCTCCAGACCCTGAAGTCCCACATGGAGAAGGAGATGACGTCATCGAGGATGCGTCACACCGCGGTGGATTTGGTGCGGACGCCGGTGGTGCGCCGCATCTCCTTCTGCCTCTGCTTCGTGTGGTACGGCCGGCGGTGCCGGACACCGCTGGGGGATTGTCCATCCCATCCCCGAGCCCTCGGACCCCTCCGGCCACCCCACACCTCCCTCCAGGAGCCACCCCTGTCCCCAATCCCGGCCCAGGTTCTCCACCAGCTTCGCCTACTACGGGCTGGCCATGGACCTGCAGAACTTTGACTTCGACATCTACGTGATCCAGCTCATCTTCGGCGCCGTGGACATCCCGGCCAAGCTGGTGTCCATCCTGACCATCACCTACGTGGGGCGGCGCTTCACCCAGGCGCTGGCCCTCGTGCTGGCCGGCCTGGCCATCCTGGCCAACATCCTGGTGCCGCGGGGTGAGCCCRGGGGTGGTGACAGCGGTGTCCCCTCATCTGTGACCTCTCCGAGAGCTCACGTTGTTGATGTGACCCCAGCTTGGGTCATTTTAGCGTTTTTTTGGAGGATTGGCTCCAAATTGGCCTCCCAAATGTTTGGGGACACTGAGGTGACATTCGGGTGTCCGGTGTCCCCGCAGAGCTGCGGACGCTGCGGACGGCGTTGGCCGTTTTTGGGAAGGGCTGTTTGGCCGCGTCCTTCAACTGCGTCTTCCTCTACACGGGAGAGCTCTACCCCACCGTCATCCGGTAAGGGGGGGACGCCGTGGGGGGACCCTCGGGTGGCCTCGGGTGGCCTCGGGTGGCCTCAGGTGGCCTCGGGTGGCCTCAGGTGGCCCTCAGGTGGCCTCAGGTGGCCTCAGCGGCGCCGTGTGACCCGCAGGCAGACGGGCATGGGCCTGGCCAACACCATGGCGCGGTTGGGCAGCATCACGGCGCCGCTGGTCAAGATGGCCGGAGAGCTCTTCCCGGCGCTGCCCGTGGTCATCTACGGCGTCGCGCCCGTGGTGTCCGGCCTGGTGGCCGTGCTGCTGCCCGAGACCCGGGGCATGGCCCTGCCCGAGACCGTGGACGAGGTGGAGGGAAGGTGGGGCTGGGAGCGGGGTCAATGGTGTA